TTTCCAGAAAAACATTCCCGCCCTCACTCCTCATTGTCAAAGGACAATTCTTCAGGAAGGAAATTAAAAGACAAAGATGAGCAATGGGACTGGCAAGGATGGCTTGGTTGTCAGAATTATGCTGTCAGTTCTGACTTCTACTATAGTGAACAATTTCTTCCAGATTAAATATTTACAAAAAAGACTAGTAATAATAAAAATTACCATAGATCACAAATTATGATATTCTTCATCTATGATAGTCTTCCTCCATCATTCTGCCTCGAAGTATTGTTCATTCTCTTGTGATTCCCAATTACCCATATCTCCTCCATAGGCCCTTTTTGATAGAAATTTCTACTTTTTCCAATTATGTCTCTTGATATCTTACTAGCTTACTTTATATACTTTATGTCTTACTAAATCACTATATGTCACTATACTAAGTCACTATATTCTCCTCAAGGACAGAAATGACATTTGAGGTATTTGGGTAGACCTGCTGTCCTCCAACACAGTAACTTAATACTATTAATAAGGCACTCAACAAATACTTGATCCAAATGAGTGTCAACAAATACTTGCTCCAAATGAGTGAGTGTCGAATTGATGTTTACCAGCAAATAAAGCATCAGCAGATTTACAGATTTCACAGATTTCACAAGACTTATTTTCTTTTTTGTAGAAAGGGACTTTGCAAAGAATGACTCATGACTTATATCATAGTAAATTTTAAAATCAGTCTATTTTCCAGTGATTTTATTCTTTCCTGTTTATTTTCGAATGTGTTTGCTTTTATAAGGGAATAACTACCAGAAGATTAAAATAATGTAAAAGTAATTTATGTATGGTTTTCTAAAATGTTTTGATGTTCACACTAATGTGCATTGTTATGTTTTGCAGAGTAATTAATATCCCTAATAAATGATAGATCAATAGATTTTTGCCCTCAATGATACATCTGCCCTAAAGGAACTCCACTACCTTAACTGACATTTTTTCTCTGTATAAAGATGAAGAAAATAATTCTTGAGATTACTTTTACTGTTTGAACAAATGCAATTTTGATGTGATAACACTCGTACAGACTGTTGAGAGTTTTGCCTGCCCAGGACTCTTGCTTCTTATGGCAACAGCATCTCCTTCTGTTTGGAAATTATTTTTTTTCCATCTGTTCCATCTCCAACTTTCCAACCTAATGTTTGGATAGATCTAAACTAATCTGTGCTTACTGATGCCCTTTCTTGGGATATTTATAAATAAAGCTGAGCACTAGGCTTTTTTTCTGCCCATGATCAAATTCTTAGCCACATTGAGATTTCAGAATAAATGACAAAGCTGAACCATAGAGAAAAGAGACCAAGAAAGAGAATCCTGATGTCATTTGAAGTTTTGGTGTCTACATCCTCAAGGCCAGTTTCTCTCTGTGCTTGCAATGGTTTAGCAAATTACCTTATGGTTATTTGAGTTACTGTAAATCATATCTTTATTATTGCAATCAAGGTTGATTTAAATCAAGTCCTAGAGAATATTTGCTCCAATACTTTAGCTATGGCAAACATAACCAAAACTATAAATAGACTGTTGGCTGAATTTTCCTTTTGAGAATGCATTTTTCCAGCCAACTATAAGTAGCCACTATACATGATTGCAAAGTAAAATTTGGGTATTCTCTCTTTTTTTTGTTCTACTGGCCAAAAAAAAAAAAAATCATACAAACAAAATGGAGATATATTTTTATGGCAGCAAAATGGATTAAATGTAGTAATAATTTAACCAAAAGACAAAAAATTATAATATTTTTCTGGAGATAATAGACATTTTTAATATGGTACCTAAGAACTAGTGCAAATTAAGAAAAATATTAGTCTGTCCTCACAAATTGTATACACTTATTTCTCACTTTATTTAAATGTCATGCTGTTTTAGATGACTTCTTCCTATGGTATTTTGAGTGCAGAAGATAGCAAAGGTCATGACCATTTGTGGTCAATAAACAGTCCTATTCCAGCCGATCCCAGAGTAAGAGGATTCAGGCTGGTTATTAATTCAGGTGGCCTGGCTAAAATCCATCTTCAGTAATTACATTTCTGTCTGCGTAAAATTGATAATGTAGTTTCAGTGAGAGAACTTATTCATCTTTGTCATCAGTTTTTTAAAAAAAGAACAGAGACACAAAATCAACAAATATTGTATTATGCTCTAAGTGAAGAAGAACAAAGGTTTCATTTTGCTCCAATGTTGAAGTTCTCTATGACTAAAATAATTAAGCAGATAACATTTACTTTATGGCATCATCTAGTGAACTTTAAATAACAAGAAATTTCTCAGACCTTTAAACATCCTGTTCAGTAATTCATATGAAAGTGTTTTAGAAAGTCACCTCTAATCTCTCTCTCCCTCTTTTTCCACTTGCCTTTCTGCTCCCCTTCCCTGCTCAACTTTCACTTTATCTTGGAATTCCTAGTGGTTCACCTACCACCTGCTAAGCTAAATTAGGTACCCTTTATCATCATCATCATGGAACACCTCCATTATAACGCATATTGTACTATCCCTGCTCCTGTCTCACTTTCAGGTCATTGAGATGGGATGGGAGCCTATGTATTACTCTCTTTTGTATCTCTTAAATCTAGCACCATACCTTATATATATATGACATATACAAGTATGCAATAAATGTTGCCTGAACAAATGAATATAAAATCAACATTTTCTGCACATTTAAATTGGAAGCTGACATAATCCACTCATAAAAGCTCTAGCACCATATAATATGTGTAAAGGGTCTAAAAGTGTGCATACAGAAAGAAAAAGTGAAAATGAAGTATTTGGTGATTTATGGTGGGCGCCCAGTGCCCTAAAAAGACATCATAGTCTTATTTGTCAAGCTATAGCGCGTTACAGCTAGAACACCATTTCAAATTGGTGTGGGTATGCTTTCTCTACACCCATGGAGGTGGTTTTAAATTAGGTGGTTTTAAGTGCCTCTGCTAAGGAAAAGAAATGGACAGGTTATCAAGGCCTGGTTAAGTGGACTGGGGTTACAGATAGTGGCTCTCATCTTATCAGGAGCAGGAAATCAGGTGGCTAATGAGGAGACAACAGAATGAGATTAAGTCAGTACCCAGCTTTATAGTTCTAGCCAACATCATTAGCTTATCGTTACTTGAGTTGTTTCTTATGGCAACAGCATCTCCTTCTGTTTGCAGAACAGTTCCTTATCATTACTGTATGGTTACTTGAATTACATACCAACATCATGACTAGGAAATTTTTAAGGATTATAAAGTATCAGGTATACCTTAATAGCAGTATATCCAACCAGTCCCCTACTGATAGACATTTAGGATGCTTTGAGTATTTTTCTATTACTGCAATAAGAAACTTATGTACACTTCACTTTGAATATGTATATCTTTGCTATAAATTCCAATTCCTAGAGGAAAATTGAGGAGTCAAAATGTTAGTACATTTGTAATTTTGATAGCCATACTATCTTCATTGGATTTGTAGCAATTTATATTCTCCAACAATATATGAGCTTTTTTTTTACACACTTTCATCAACCCACAGTATTATTTTTTTATAAAAATATTTGCAAATCTGAAAGATGAAAACAGTTTTGGTATAGTTTTAATTTGCATTTTTCTTATTGCAAGTGATGTTTGCATCATTTCATATATTTAAGAGCTCATTGTATTTACTTGACAATGTACTTTTTATTTATATTCATTGTCTATTTTTCCATTGGATGTTTGGTTTCTTTTATTGACTTGTAAATACACTCTATTTATTAGGAAAATTAACCCTATAATATGAGCTGCAAAAATTTTTTCATAATTTGTTGTCTTAAAACATCACTAACTTTGGTTCTTGTCCTACGAAATATTTTTTTTAGTATAATATAAACAAATGTACAATCTTCTCTTCTCTGAAATTAAATTTTTGTGTAACATTGGAAAAAGCTTTTAATAATCAAACCTGAGCTTATCCCTTTATTAGCTGTACAACCTGGATAAGTCATTTAGTTACTCTGTCCTGTTTCTTTCTCTGTGAGATGGGGTAACAATAACCTAAAAATCTCTCTTTTAGGGTTGTTGTAAGGACTAAATAAGATAATAGCTATAATGTATTTATAAATGTTGTTATATACTAAAAAGATAATAATAAGAGCACTACTAATAAAATAATAATAGTTGCTTTATTGTTATTGAATGAAATGAGTGTCAACCTGATTACCTTTTCCTTCAAAAAACCCAGTATTTTTTTTTAAATCTATTTCTTACTCTGGTAAATAAAAACACGATTGAGCCAGTCTTTCTATTTAAAAAGTTAACCTTGTCATTTCTCTCTTTAAAATTCTTACTAAACATGAACAAAGTCAAAACTGAAATGAAGCTTTAGAAGTTGACACAGGAAGTCAATGTTATCCAATAGCTTCTTCTGCTGTTGTAAACAAGCATGCCTAGAATCAAACTACTGATGTATGAAAAACTCTCCGGATTCTGCTGAACCTATCTGTTTGTATGTGCAGCTGCTGTGTTGATTGCAGAGTTGTTGAATTTATTTGTGATTGCCATAGGAACGACATGAAGATGCATTTTCCACAAAACACACCTAGCAACTCTGTGGATGTCTGTATATTCAATTTATCCATGGTTACCCTGGGGATTTCTCAGAATATGAATGCCCCTGCCATTTCTTCAAGCTCCCAATTGTAAACTAGCATGTTGGTGATTTTGTTTTCCTGCCAATGAAGGAAGGTGCTTTCCATAGTTACATGCTTCTACCCCAGAATAGACTGCAAAGCAAATGTCTACCTAAAACAAATACAATAATTTAGAAGCCCTTGTACTGTTGCATTGTTTGTGTAAAAACAGTTTGTTTCATATGAAGTTTTGCTATTTATTGAGGATTTCAGCATTTCTGTATATAAAAATTTCAGTGTTCATTTTCTTCTGCTTTTAAATGTGTTATTTCAATCCTTCACCAAATATCACAAAATCACATGAACTTACCACATCAGTAACCCAATGCAAATCATCATCAGCATCATCATCTTCCAACATACTGACTGTATCCCACAAAGGTTTAATGTTAGTAAAAAAAAAGGAAAAAAAAGAACTCTATTAATCTCTGCTTAAATTTTGATATATTAATTTTACTTTTATTCCTGCATTGATGCGCTACAAAAAGAGAGAATGTAAAATTGTAAAGGAAAAGCCTTACTGTAGAAAATTAAAATAATTGAATTCTAGATAGGGCCTTAAAAGGACTTTAACAATGAATTGGTCTTCCCTTCACTTGAAAGGTTATATAACTAGGGTGACATAAATGACTGGGAACAGAGCTTAGTCTAGACTCAAGAACACTAAATTAATACTTACTCAACAAATATTTATTTAATACCTATGGTAAGCTTGACAAGCCTTGGCTAGTGAGTATATAAAGATACATGCAACACAGCTTTTGTCCTCAAGAAATTCACAATACTGAAAATAAAAGTTCATTTTATGAAGCCAATATCACCTTGATACCAAAGCTAGGAAAGGGCATAACAAAAAAAGAAAAATACAGACCAATATCCCTCATGAATATAGATACAAAAATCCTCAACAAAATTTTAGCACATCAAATCCAACAGCACATCAAGAAAATAATTCACCATGACCAGATGGGCTTTATTCCAGAGACACAAGGCTGGTTCAACATACGCAAATCTATAAATGCAATTCACCACATAAATAAAAGCAAGAACAAAGATCATATGATTCTCTCAATACATGCAGAAAAAGCATTTGACAAAATCCAGCACACCTTTACGGTAAAAACTCTTAACAAAATAGGCATAGATGGGACATATCTTAAAATTATTAAGGCCATATACAATATGTGCATTTTAAACTCAGGAATGTAGTGTTGCAGAAAGAATCCAGACAAGTTGGATTCCATTTCATAAAAGTTTACTGAATGAACTTCTATGTGTCAAGTATTCTGCTAGCTGCTGAGGATATGAGGTAAAAGTCTCATTCTCTACTGACTGAGCTAGATGGGCACCTGGGATATGAGGTTAAACAAGTTTTGTGCAGCCTCCTTCCTGGAAACTTTCTTTATCAGAGACTACAAGCAAGAAAACAGGCAATTCTACACTGTAATATGTTCTTTCATAGGAAAACGCGAGTTTTCTGTGCATCATTGAGGAAAGCTTATTCCACATGGAAGAATTGCTTCAAAGCTTCAACGGTGAAAGGATGCATTATGAACCTTAGAATTTAAAAACAAAAAAGAAAAAAAAATTCATTGTAGATTACAAAGAGGAGGTGATGAGAGAGGAAGCTGGCCCCACTGCCTGAATCACATCATTCAGGACCTTATCAACTCTGAAAAAGAGTTGGGTTATATCAGAGTCAATGTGGAGACATTAAGGGCTTCGATTGGTCATGTGACTTCACATTGGGAAGGGCAATATTAATGGCATAAAAATTAACCAAGGGCTTTATCAACAATCTTGACCGGTGATTACAATGATTTGTACTAGTAAATGGCTGTAGGGATGAAGAACATTTTCCTGCCTGGATAACTAGATAAGGTGGGTTACCATTTTCTGAGAACAAAGAAAAAAGACTCATCACTGCTTGAAAAGATGTTACATTACATTTTGGATAAACTGAGTCTGAAGTGCTCTTGGTCTTCCAAATGGAGGTATATGGAAAGAAGTACGATGTACAGTTTTTACGTAGGTTGATGATTTGGGAATAATCTCTATTGAAATGGTTATTGAAATGGTGAAAGAGGAAATCACACAGACAGAGTATATAGAGAGTGGAGAAAAAGAAAAGAAATAAGGATAACATTCCAAGCAATGCCTATATTTGAGGTGAGGAGAGAGCAAGAGAAGTCTGAAAAAAAATCAAAGAATTATGACAAAGGTGAGATGAAGAGCAAAAATTGTAAACTAGAAAATGTAAACAACTATTTCAAGAAATGTGACCCTTGATGGAGGACAAAGTGAACATTAGTTGGGAGAGAAAGGTGAGAATGAAAAATACTATATTTTTATTATGTTGAAATACTAAAGAGAAGGAACCCTTGCAACAAAGAATCTGATCCAAGGGGAAGGAGTGGTTGTGGTGGAGTGATGATTGATTGAAATAAATTTCCAAAATAGATGGTGGAGTTGGGAGCCAGAGCATCAGGAAGTTCAGATGTGAACAAGAAGACTCACACTACTTTCTTGCCATATGGCCACAGAGAAAGAGAGAAGGCATATGGATATACAGACTTTTTTTTTTAGTTGGTATTGCAAGAAGTTGAGATAATTCCAATCTGATGTTTTCTACTTTCTCTGTCAATTAAGAAGCAAGATCATCTACTATGAGTGAAGTGCAAATGGTGGGTTCAGAGGTTAGAGAAGAATAGGAGATCTGAAATTGTCTCTTTGGAAAACTGAGAAAGACTTCACTAGAAAACCTTAAATGTATTGCTGAACAGCACTGAGGGCATAGTCAAAGGTGAAGACCATTCATTTCCAGTGCCTTAGATCTGCTTGGTTGAGTGATTTCCTCATCAGTGTTGAGCATCACAAGATAATTAGATAGAGGCAGGTTTGTGATTTCGCCAGGAAGATATCGTAAATGTACAAAGAGATTAGTTAGGGAATAAAATGTATTTTCCTGAGCATATTTGAAGTGATAGACCATTGATAGACATTAATAGACACTGGTAATTTTACAAAACAAGTAGGCACTAGAGAGCCTGTAAGCAGAAAGAATAGGTATAGAAAAATAGATTTAGTGAGTATCCAGGCAGGAAGGCAAGTCTGTTGATTGAAAAAAGAAAAAAATCACCCAATGATTTCCATGTAACTGGTGCATATTTCATTAAGAACATTTGACTTTATAGCCTAAAAATTGTCATTTAAAAAAGGTATATTAGTAGATTATAAATATATTTGCATAGAGAAAGTTACCTAATAATGTTTTTTATTATATATATATTTTTTTCCTTTCTTTTTTTGTTTTGATCATTTTTTTTTTCGGCATATTATGGGGGTACAGATTATAAGGTTTGAATAAATGCCCATTCCCTCCCTCCCCCCACAAGTCTGAGTCTCCAGCATGACCATCCCCCAGATGGTGCACATCTCACTCATTATGTATGTATATACCCGCCCCCCTCCCCCCTCCCACCTTGCCCACATCCTTATTACTGTCAGTACTATGTGTCCACTTAGGTGTCTGCTCAGTTAATACCATTTGCTGTGAGAATATGCTGGTGCTTGTTTTCCATTCTTGGATACTTCACTATAGTATGGGTTCAGCTCTAACCAGGAAATATAAGTGTGCTATATCACCATTGTTTCTTAGGGCTGAATAGTACTCCATGGTATACATATACACATTTTATTAATCCATTCTTTGATTGATGGGCACTTGGGCTGTTTCCACAGCCTTGCAATTAGAATTGTGCTGCTATAAACATTCGAGTGCAGGTGTCTTTTTTGTAGAGTGTCACTGGATCATTTGGGTAGATGCCCAGCAATGGGATTGCTGGATCAAATGGTAGATTCACTTTAGGTATCTCCATATTGCTTTCCACAGAGGTTGAACTAGTTTGCAGTCCCACCAGCATGGTAGGAGTGTTCCTCTCTCTCCGCAACCACGCCAGCATTTATTGTTTGGAGATTTTTGATAAGGCCATTCTCACTGGGTTAAGTGATATCTCATTGTGGTTTTGATTTGCATTTCCCTGATGATTAGAGATGTTGAGCATTTCTTCATATGTTTGTTGCCATTCTTCTGTCTTCTTTAGAAAAATTTCTGTTCAAGTCCTTTGCCCACTTTTAATGGGGTTATTTGATTTTTCTTCCTAATTTTCGTGAGTTCTAAGTATATTCTAGTTTATCAGTCCCTTATCGGATGCATAGGATGCAAAAATTTTCTCCCATTCTGTAGGTTGTCTGTTTACTTTGATGACTATTTCTTTGGCTGTGCAGAAGCTTTGTAGTTTGATCATGTCCCATTTATTTATTTTTGTTGCTGCTGTGATTGCCTTTGGGGACTTCTTCATAAACTCTTAGCCCAGGCCAATGTCTAGGAGAGTGTTTCCAACTTTCTCCTCTAGAGTTCTAATAGTTTCATACCTTAGGTTTAAGTCTGTTATCCAGCGTGAGTTGGTTTTTGTGAGAGGTGAAAGGTGTGGGTCCTGCTTTAGCCTTCTACAGGTGGGCTATCCAGTTTCCCAGCACCATTTATTGAAGAGGGATTCTTTTCCCCAGCGTATGTTTTGTCTGCTTTGTCAAGATGAGAATGGCTATATGAGGATGGTTTTATATCAGGATTCTCACATCTGTTCCACTGGTCAATATTCCTATTTTTGTGCCAATACCATATTTTTTAATTACTACAGCTTTGTAGTATAGTTTGATATCTGGCATATTAATGCCTCCCATTTTGTTTTTGTTGCCTAGAATTGCTTTGATTTCGGGGTCTTCTTTGGTTCCATACGAAGCATAAAATTATTTTTTCTATATCTGTGAAGAATGCTGATGGGATTTTAATAGGTATTGCATTGAATCTGTAGATCAGTTTGGGTAGTATAGACATTTTGTTGATATTGAGTCTGCCGATCCACGAGCATGGTATGGATTTCCATCTGTTTACATCCTCTGCTATTTCCTTCCTCAGTGTTTCATAGTTCTCCCTGTAGAGGTCTTTTACGTCCTTGGTTAAGTATATTCCTAGGTACTTTAATTTCTTTGTTGCTATTGTGAAGGGAATTGAGTCTTTGATTTGGTTCTCAATTAGATTGTTGTTGGTGTATATGAATGCCTCTGATTTCTGTGTATTGATTTTGTATCCTGAGACTTTACTAAATTCATTGATCAGTTCCAGGAGTTTCTTGGTTGAATTATATTTTTTTAAATGGTTGAGATTTCCTGCCAAAAAAAAAAAAAATTCATTACAAACTCTCTCCAAAAAGGAGTTTCAAAGTTAGAAGCAAATGTTAATTAAGTCTAACACTTACAGATAAGTAGTAAATATAACACAAGGTGAGAATTGTCCTCATG